GCTAGAAGATCCTTATGCATGGGAAGAGGACTGGTATGTGATGTACTGCTCTGTGAGCAGGTCCTGAGGATGCTCCTGCGAGGGGCTGGGGCTGTCCTTTGTCCCCTTCCTGCTCCCTCCACAGACCCCTGCACCACCCTTTGGAGGGTTCCCATGTCCCTCACAGAGTGACTCTGGGGGTGTACCGTCATGGGGACTCCTGTCCCCCTTGTTCCAGGCCCATGGGTGCTGGCAGTGGCTACACATGCGTGGCAGTGGGTATCCATGCCTGCAGCCTATGCTGCCCCACTGCCACTCAGCTCCTGCATGCTCCTTCATGCATCATTGTGTGGTGCAGCCATGCCTGGGGACTAATTTAGGTTGGAAATAAGGTGTATATTTGTAACAAGCAGTTAATGGTGAGGGTAATTAATCACAGCAGCAGATTAGCGAGGGACATGATGGATTTCCTGATCCTGACATCTTTAAATCACAATCAGTTTCTCCTTCCAGACCTGCTCAGGCTGAGCCAGAAGTGATGGGCTCAGCGATGCATCGCACAGTCAAACCTCCCCACAGCCCGGTGCAGCAGTGGGAGCCCCCATCCACATCCACTCTGCTACAGGGTACCAGGACTCTCCCACCCAGGGAGAGGGCAGCTGGGGGAGGAGAACCTCCCCCTGCACTGGGGGCTTTGAAAACTTCCTCCTGATTTCTATTTTGACATCATTTCAATTGATTAAGATGTCAGATGTGTAGCGCTGCCAGGAAACACTGCTTTCTTTTAATAAACAAAGAGCAGCAGGTCATTTAATCTCCTGTACATGCTCTGTCCCTCCAGAGGAGAGATGGGACTGCACCTTCCCAGGGCAGCAGCACCTCTCTCTTCCTTTCAGGGTGGCTCTGGCAGACCTTTCCCTTCACTGGGAGAGCAGCACCTCCTCGCAGCTTCGGGGGATCCGCCACACCCCTGAGGGCGTTACCTTCTTCAGAGATGCTCCACACTGTGATGTGGCCTCATACAAGCACCAACAGCTGGTCCCAAGCATCTGGGCCTCCCATGACAGATTTCTCATGAGTGGCTTCACAGTCACGGCAACACCTTAAAAAGGAATCCGAAGCCATGTCTTTTGCTTTTCTTGCTGGCTCCTGAACCTGCAAGACTCACTTGGCTCACGTGTAGAGCCTTGTTCTCCTGCCACCAGCGCTAGACGCTTCACACTGGCTTCCAAGGCAAGCCAAAAAACTCCTGCAGCCCCACGAGAGTTGGCTGCCTTCCCAGCCGTGAGGATTGCAGGGCTCTTAATACAACTGTAGGGGTCCCCAGCCCCACACCCCAGCTTTGCTGCTGGAGGAAGCTGGACATAGGGTAAAGTGTGCAGGGGAAGGAAACGCCACTGAAAGGTTAAGTGAAAGTTAATATAGCTGCATAAATTAACTCAGACTCTCAGCACAGGGAGGATGCAGGAAAGCATAATGCTGAAAAGTACTTTTTTTTTTTTTTTTTTCTGAAAAGCAAAGCTCTCTGATACTTTTTTCAGAACACTTGATAACCTGAGTACATCCTGACTCCCTTGGGGCATTCCCTTGAAATCTCTGGCATTCCCCCGAACCTCTCTGTGGGTATCAGACAAAGGGCATGCAAACTGTTTAATCCCGAGGCTGCTGTTTTACCAGATCTGAGATCACTACAGCTGTGGCAGGCGAGGGAGGCAGGGCTGCAGGCAGCATCTCCTGCCAGCATTCCCAGGGCCTGATGCCCGTCAGTGTTTCATTTTACTCAGGGCAGCGCGCTGATCCCAGTGATGCTGGAAGTCAGTGTTAAAGCCATGCTTTGGCATTTCCCAGCTGCTGCTGCCCAAAGAAATAACACCAACTGCATGTTAAGATGGCAGGGCTGGGTGCCCATGCTGCCTTCCCCATGCCCAGGCATGGAAGAGAAGGATTGCTAGCATGCAGAATCCCCACTGAGAGAGCAAGTGCTGGCTCTTGGGGCACTAACATTCAGGCAAAACAAATGAGGTAAAAAAGAGTGTGTTTACAAATACATATATTTTTTTATATATGTATATATGCTTATCTATATGTATGTCATTATGCTAAGTCATGGTGAGACAAAGTGGATCAGCTACAGTCTTGACATTCTAAAATTAGGTTTTATGTAAAATAAGTATTTGCTTCATGTAGGGCAGTTGGTATTAAGATTTATTTTCATTCTCACTTGTATTACTGCTTGATATGATTGTAAAGCCCAGGGCACATGCATATCGTTACCATTCATAACATACACATGGATTCATGACCTAGCTAGCAAGCTGAATTGCCTTGCAATCTTTTTTCCGCTGCAGAAATCTTAATAAGCATATAAGTCTTAGAGCAAAAAGAGACCCTATGTATTTGCTCTGCATGAGGAGCTCTTGAATGCAGTTGTAGGAGCCAGAGAAAGCATTGCACCAGCTGCCTAGCATTCATCACCCATGTGGACTCATTTCTAAGAGCAGCACCCATCGTGTCCATGGGACTAACAGTAGGTGACAGAGCAGTAAATGTTACTGAAGCAGTTGTATAAACTCCAGGACAGCCTGTGACTTTCCTTTCCCCAGAAAAAAATCCCAGTTTATTTACCGCAGCTCTTTAACCAAATGCCTTTGGCAAAGGCACTTACTGTTATTAAGAAAGCATAAATTGAACGCTTACAAACATATACGTGTGAACCCCCATGCTCCTGCAGGAACAGAATTATGGTTAGCATCAACAGGCAGAAATAGTGACTTCAACAATTACTTTTATGTCCCCTGGGGCTTTCCTGACAGTGAGGAATGTGTCCTCGCTGCAGCTCAGGCGCCGGGCTGGGAGCAGTTACCAGAGCCTGCAGGTGGCTGTTGTGGGGATATGGCATTTATTTCATGGAAACAAAAGGTCCATCACCAGTGGGAGCCAGGGAGCTAAGGCTGCCCATGGAGAGCAAGGAGAGGAGACACAAACACAAGGGGAAGAAGCACCCACTTATCCCCATGTGAGGGGAAAAAGAGCACGGTTTGATTTCTGCTGCAGAGGAGCAAGGATGACAGGAAAGGCACTGCATGCACCGGGGAAGCTGCTGAGGAACAGCCCTCTTCAAGAGACCTCTGCTAGTCCTTAGAAAAAATCTCATGACAAAAGATGGAAAAACCACAGCTAGCTAAGGAGAAGAAAAATTTGGGTTTATAGAGAGAGTTTCTCACAATGAGAGAGATATCCATGAAGGACTGGCTTAGAATTCCTGGGTTTCTAGGGTCAAGGCTGAGCTGTGACACCCCAAGAGAAAGAAACAACCTCATGCAAACAGGAAGATGGAGATGTATCCATTGAGAGAAAGAGCCTGACCAGGTACATGGAGGAATTAAGATCACTGGTGTCAGCTGAGAGACCAGGTAGTTTTGGAATAAAAGGACCACACTGAGGGTTTGCTATATATCTCCCTGGGAGTAATTTTGGAGCAATGCTGCTGGAGACAGCAATACTGCTGGGACTGATACTGCTTTGCAAGAGGTTGCTTTCCAGGCAGAGACTGAGGCATAGATCTCAAAACCGTTCTGCTTGGATGTGGCTAGAGCAGGCTTTTTACTTGCCAATTACAGAACTGACATGAGGAGATGCTGCTTTTGTTTGTTTTTTAAGTAGAAAAAAACATTATAAAAAAAGCCAGCTGTAGAAAATAAGCTTGGAGTGAGCAACCACCACTGGCTTCAGTATAATTAAACAGAAAGGTATGAAAAACAGGCTGGTAAATGAGGGCATCATCCTGAAGAGGAGAAACTGGATGAAGGGATCTACAGCCTCCTCCATGTGGGTACTTTTGGGCCCTGTGGCCTCAACTTCAGCAGGGGCTGCCGGCAGCCCCAGCCAGCCCAGGAATGCACTTGGCTGGGGTTGTTGAGCCACTGTGTGTGGTTGCTGAGCCACGCTGTGTCATGCCACACTGTCATGCCATGCTTCATGGGCTGCACGCCCTGCACAAACGCCGCTCACCAGCCTGGCAAGGCAGGATCAGCACTGCAAAATGCAGCAGGGCCATAAGCCAAAGGACAGTGCTGTCACAAGAACAGATGAGGATAACTGGCAATGAATAAACTCAGGGTGGAAGAAGGAAGGATGGAGCTTTGGGCCAGCCCCAGCGCAGAGGGCACAGAGAATGGGAGTTGGGTTTTATTCCCAGCTTTTCCAAGGAGATGGCAGGACACAGCACCCAGGGCACCAGGGCTGTGGGCTCTACAACCCCAGATGCCCTCAGCTCACAGACCCACTATCACCTGCCATGTCCCCTTCCCCACCCATCCTGCTGTTGTGGGGCTGGGGGCTCTGTGCAGAACATGGCACCCTTGCCTCTCATCTCCACCAGAATGTTTAAGTCCTGCTTTATTTCATACACGTGGCTTTTTTAAAACATATGTGGCATTTCCTTACAACTGTCAGCATCGACCTTCATAGCTGCCATGGTGATGAGCACCACAGAGAAGCCTATAAATAACATGAATGTGCCACATGCTGGCCCTTTTATGGGCCCCACTCTTTTTGATTTACTTATATGCAAGATATTTTACAGGACAACCCAATTAAGCTTGACAGCTGGCTGACAATGAATTCCTGCTCAGCAACGGGTTGCAGACACTTTATATTAAACCAGGTAATGTGATACAGAACACCAGTAGAAGCTACTGGTGGGATTTTGCATTTGTATAGGCTGTTCAGAAATTAATTTCCGTTTTGTAATGTGATTTTCATTGTATATGTTTCAGGAATAGTACCTTCTCGACTGGCGTACTGTTACATATTTTTGAAAAGCTCATGTTATGAACTTTCACACTGTATAATTAAATTATAATATAAACTGCGTTTTTGAAAAATTTTGTAGGTTTGAAGTTCAGATGTCAAAACAGCAATTTTGACAGATCTACGAGTTCAAACTTGAATGTAGTGCAGAGCAGGCTGCTCAAAACATCAATGAGGTATATGGCCAGGGAAGTGTTAACAAACAGATAATGCGACTCCAAAAATTTCAACGTGGCAATTTTGACCTTGATGATCAAGAAGGTCGCGGACATCCTTCTGCTATTGATGACAATGAATTGAAGGCTCTGGTGGAAGCAGATACATGCACAACTGTTCGAGAACTTGCAAAAGAACTTGGGGTAAGTATATCAACTGTTTCTGATCATCTGAAGAAGATTGGAAAGTCGAAGAAGCTCGACAAATGGGTGCCGCACGAATTGAATGAGAATCACAGAAATCACTATTTTGAAGTGTCATCGGCGCTTCTTTTTCACAACCAGAACAACCCGTTTCTCGACCGTATTGTGACGTGCGACAAGAAATGGATGCTCTATGATAACCGGCAACTATCGGCTCAGTGGTTGGACCGCGATGAAGCTCTGCAGCACTTCCCATAGCCGAATCTGCACCAAAAGAAGGTCATGCTGACTGTCTGGTGGTCTGCTGCTGGTTTAATCCATCACAGCTTCCTGAATCCAGGTGAAACGATCACGGCAGAGAAGTACGTCCAGTAAATCAATGAAATTGCTCCCGAAACTTCAACAGCTGCGCCCAGCACTGGTCAACAGAAAGGGTCCAATCCTTCTCCACGATAACACATTGCCACACGTTGCACTTTTGACGCTGCAACAGTTGAACAAGCTGGGCTATGAAACTCTGCCTCATCCACCGTACTCACCAGACCTCTCGCCCACCGACTATCACTTCTTCAAGCATCTCGACAGCTTCCTGTGCGGGAGACGCTTCAGAAACCAAGGGGAGACTGAAACTGCCTTCAATGACTTCATCGCCTCCAGAAGTCCAGAATTTTATGCAACCAGAATAAATATGCTTGTTTCTCGTTGGCAAAAATGTGTTGATTCTAATGAGTTTTATTTCAATTAATACGTTTTATTCTGATCTGAGATATGCCACTTCAAACATACAGGTTGAAATCGGCAATTAATTTCCAAACAGCCCATACTTGCTGATACAACTGAAGGGTCCCCTACGATCTTTTCAGCAACAGCCACCAAAGGACCCACATGCCACTGGAGACAGGCAGAGCTCGCCCCCTTCAAGCGCTGAGCAGCAGCACAAGGCCAGGCTGCAAGTTTTAGGAGGGGTCCTTAGTTCCCCACAGTGTGCACATCGGGCAAGCATTCATTGATGGGGTCCCACCAAGTTTCCAGGAGGCTACAAGAACATCGCATGCCTGACTGCATACATTTTTGGCTACAACTCAATCCGAGCAGGTCACTCTGCTGTGAATGTAATGTAAAGGTGTGGTCAGCCACCCCGCGCTGCACAGGGGCTACAAATTTTGTAGGAGGCCACTGCAGAACCAAAAGCCCTTGCTCAGGGGTGCCTCAGTGGCATCAGCACCTGATCCAAACTCAGTCACTCTGCCTGCAGGAGGGTTGCTCTCCCAGGCTTCTACCGCATCTTCCAAGACAGGTAGTCCTCACACGGCATCCACCATAAGTAACATATCACTCAGCAGTTTTCATCTGATACCTCTGTCATTCCAGCAGTAATTTCTATATTCCAGAGGGGCAAAGCAGAAATAACACAGCAGACCTGGGACTTGCATGGCGTGTCTCTTTCAGCCCCTGCTAAGTCATAGCTATTCTGGGAAAGCCTCATTCACTCTCTGGAGCCACTTCAACTTTTTCTTCCAACCAAAGAAACAGCCATGATGGACAACCCTCATTGCCGAGCTGCTCAAGCTAGACATCCTTCCCAGCTCAGTGGTGTCTTTCTTACTCTCTCCCTGCACACTCCTGTCCCACCATGACAGGGGAGAGCATCCCCAGCAGATAGCTGAAAAATGCAGTGATGCGCTGTGGAAATAATCAAAGTTGTTTTCTATGTTGCTCTCCAGGCAAGGCAGCGCCTGGATCCTGCCCCACCTCTTTGCGGAGGCAGGGGGAAGAAAGCCCCTGTAGCACATACAGAAAAACAGACTCCTCACTTACAAATAAATGCAACAGCATTTTTATCAGCTCTTTTTGGCTGGAGCCCAGTACTGGATTTCAGGCCCAAATATCTGTTTTCAGATTTTTGATCTTGAATGATTTAACAGTATTGCAGAAGGCAGGTGCCTCATAAAATCACATTCAGTCACCTGAAAACCCAATTTTCCAGCAATTTTTCAAACAGATGAAGTTTTGATCGGCTGTGGTTTGATGTTGAGCTGACACCTGAACCTGGGTGGCTGGAAGGTTAATGAAGAACAATGAGTCCCAATAATGTAACCTAAAGTACCCAAGTGCTATGATTATTTGACTTCATGTTTATAATTTCTCCCCAAATTCACATTAAGGATGTCAGCTCTCCCCTCTCATTCAGCATTTTCTCCTCTGATGTCTGCTGCATTTTCCTTTAGTCTTTCTTCCATCTTCCCTGGATGGTTTTATTTTGCTTTTGCAAGGAAATCGAGCACAATGCAACTTTGCAAAGTTCTGCAATTGTAAATTTCCTATACTCCCCCTGCTAGACTTGGGAGTGAAGAGGGAGTTCAAATCAACTCTCCTCTCTTCCAGTGAATTTGAGGCAAGATCTGCATAGGACTGCGAGGCCCCACTGCCAAAGAGAGGTTACACAGGAGGACAGATTTAATTAAGAGGTGATTAAGCCCCACCGTGATCTCCATCCTGAGCTAGGGAGGCACAAGGACTGCCTGAAATCTAAGGGCACACGATGCTATGTGAGGCAAAAAATTGTGCTGGCTGTTAGGTGGGATGAGTTGTGTAACTTCAGAAAACATGGGAATATCACAAAAGCTAAGAAATCAAAGGAGAAACCAAAGAAAACATGAGATTGATTTCTATCAGGGAAATAAGAACTGAACGAACCAGTGATTCTATCACTGTAACTGCCAAAGGGATGGGGAGGAGTGGAAGGAAGAGGCTCCCCATGCCGAGGAGCCCTAGGTGGCTTACTGCTGTGTCACACACTGAAAACCAGCAGTCATGCTCAGCAAAATTTAAGATAATCAGGGGAATTCAAACAAGAGCAAATCAAAAGCTGGGTATTTTGCAAAGGGATTAAAAGAAAGCTTTAAATAGGAGCCAATGGCTCCACAGGTAAATTAATTATGTGGAAGCTGCCCAGGAAAAGGACATGTAAAAGCAGTGAAAGCTTCATTAGCACCAGTGTGTGCAGTACCAGCAGATTGGGAAGAAGTGTAGGCACGCAGCCTGCACGGGGCAAGAGGAGGTGTTGATTGGCAGAACCACAATGCAGCAGGTTCTCCTGGAAATGCAGAAAACCAGGGAAGCTGTTGCCAGCCAGGATCTTGCTCACAGAGGTTAACTGCAGCAGGAGCTTCAAATACAACTCTGGAAGAGAATCGCAAGGTTACAGCCCACAGCAGGGAGCAGTTGCTCCGATGCAGAACTTGCCCAGCCTTAGCAGGAGGAAATAGCTTATGTGCTGCCAGCAGATCTACAGGAATTTCTCATGCTTTTTAAACGCAGGCACACAAGTCCACAGGGGTCAATCCAGACTGTCCTGACTTTGATAAGGCAAGAACTCAGGATCTTTAATAATAAAGTTTCTATCAGACTACCCTTTAACCTTGCAATGTAAATGATGTACAAAGACAGGGGTGGCTATAGAAAGGCTAACCTAAATCGGCCGGCTCTGCTGCTGTTGCAGAAATGAACCCGCAGGGAATAGAAAAGCTATACCAGGGCAGTGGCAACTGGCAGCCCGAGCTATCTGCTAATTGCTAAGGACAACCAGGGACCTGCAATTTGTTTGCTATCTTGCTCGGTCTCATGTGTGGGAAGGGCAAGGGCATGCTCGCACACTGCGTGGTTTGCAAACAGCACAGGGCGGAAAAGTTCAGCTGAAATGCTTGAGTTGGGAAAAAGCAGCCACACACAAGGATTAATAATAGCAGCTTTCTTCTTAACCAGAGTTACTAGCAAAACCCCAGAGATGCACTTGCCTAAGCAGGTAATTCTAAAAACTATTTAACGGGGCCAGCCCAAAAGCAACCCCGCAGAGCTCATAACACACTGGGTAGTGCAGCAGCTTTCTACTACCTGCCTGAGCAAGGCCACAGTGCCTTCAGGCACACACACAGCCCCTGTGCCCAGCTATTTCAATAGACAAGATTCAAATGCTAGAAGTGCAGCACAGCCTGCAAATGCGCATCTACCTGTGCAACAGCTGTTGCAGTGGTAGGAAATGGAGACACTTTTCATTTTGGGGGCTACAGGGTTTCTCTGACCCTCCCAGACCTGAGACTGTGGGAGGTTTGGAGAGAGCATGTTTCCAAGGTGCTTGGCTGATTGTTCCCTCCAGTCTCACAACTTGCGGAAGAAACACTTGGCCCCAGGGTAACTGAGGACTTGTCCCCTCCATAGGTGCAGGGACTTGGATCTGCTTCCAGATGCTTCCTCTGGGAGAAGGGAAAGGTGTGAGGGGCTCATGGGAAGAGATGAAGATTTCCTTATGTATCCTGAGCATCAAACGTGCATTCAAAGAAGGCTCTCTGTGGATGCTCTGCACAGCTGGGCTCTCACACGAGTTTATCTGCAGAGCTGTCACAGTCCGAGCCTCTGCTTTGCTGCCAGATTTTTATATTCTGTGCTGATTTCCCAAGGGTCTTCATTTGGGCTCATCATCCCCACAGGGATCAATAGGATTGCAGCTGCCATCCTAGCATCTGCAGCCAGCTTTGCTGAGCAGCAGTGTGGTCTGCTGGATAAAGCAGGGGCTAGGAGCCAGGAACACTGAAAGTCCACCCAGTTCCTGCCAGGAGTCTCCGCTGAGGGCTCAGTCAAGCTCATCAGTGTCTTCAGAGACATCTAAGGCACATCCCAGCCAGGAATTAACACCAGTGACCTCATGTCCGCCTGATGCTCAGGGAAAGCACTGAGAAGCCCTGTGGCTCCTGGAGGCAGAGGGGACCAGGTGGTGGTCCACTCCCTCTGCATCCCATCCCAGCCCTTCCCTTAGCAGATGGCTCTGACCTGTGAAGCTGAGCGCTGAAAGACTACAGCATCCATGACCGGAATCAAGTGAGAGGAACAAAATTAAAATAGCCAGTGTAGTCCTACATCGTGGTGGTGGGAAGGTGGCTGGAGATATCTCTGCCTCAGCCCTACTCTTTGGGTAACGCCAAGGGAGAAGCCCTTCTGCAGAGAAGCCTGGTGTGTGCAGCTGGCTGCAGAGCCAAACGCTGCTCTCTAACAGAGACTTTCTAATCTCCCTGAGTGCTTCTGGCCCTTGCCAACCTCGTTTTTCTAAAAACCCTGTGGAATTACAGGTCCAACAGCAGGCTGTAACAGACATACCAGAGACCAGTAGCCATCTAAGATGATGTAGAAAATACACCCATAACTGTGGGCTAAAATCCTGTATGGGAACAGCTGCATTCTCTTTCGTGGGATTCTTGTTATCTACAACTGATACGCACTTTGTGTTTCAACACTGTCTCCCAAATGTCTGTATTAATGGCAGGTATAACCTACCTTCCTTCACTCTTTGCTCCATGGTCACTGTGCCTGGATGTGCAATGCA